GGGGGAAAAAAAAAAAAAAAAAAAAAAAAAAAAAAAATTGAATGCCTCAATTTTTAACTTTTCAGTTGAATTACAAATTGAAATTGAATAATTTTAAATTGAATTAAAATTGAGTTCCTCGGTCCCAGCGGCCACATTTTAAGTGCTCAGTAGAGTGCTTGTGGCTAGTGTCTACTATATTGGATAGTCCGATACAGAACATTTCCATCTTCATAGAAAGTGCTGTGGGACAGAGCTGGCTAAAGACTGTAGTGTTTTCTCAGAAGCATTTTAGTGTGCCTTTAAGGTTTCTTGATTCCCTCCCATCCACTGGTACATTTGCTGTAGATGTCAGCACTTACCCCAGAATAGTGAACTGTCAGATTTTCAGTGGTCAAGAAGGATTAATGAGTAGATCAAAGTTTAACAGCTGACTCATTTTAAGATGCTGGCAATGGGAAATAGTAGTGAGGGAATTTCCTCAACTGGGGAATCTACTTCCCACCAGCTTAACACCTTTTCTGGAGACTTTTCCAGGCGTCAGAGGATGTCTGATTGTATACTCATCAACAGTCAGTCCTGGAGGCCTCTTAGATCATTCGTGGCACATAAACAAATAATAAATGTTAGCTGTTCATTGATAAATAAAATGTGTCAATGCCTAGCATAGAATAATATTTGTTGAGGGGCTGGACAGTTAATCATTTGGTTAGAGCACAGTGTTATAACACCAAGGTCAAAGGGTTCAGTTCCCCATACCGGCCAGCCGCCAAAAACTAAATAAATAAAAAGTATTTGTTGAACAAATTTGAAAAATACCCGTTTTCCGTTTATGATAGTGATATGAACAACACTTACATTGTGCTTAGTAGGTGCCGGGCATTAGTCTTAGATCTGTACATGTATATTAATTCATTTAATACTAAATTACTGTGATTATTAAATGAATGAATAAGGTCTGAGTGGTTAGGTCAGTTGGTTAGAGCATGGTGTTATAACACCAATATCAAAGGTACAGATCGCCATACTGGCCAGCTGCCAAAATAAGTAAATAAATGAATGAATGAGTACATGTACAGATCTAAGGTAGGAGGACTGGCTTCATAGGTTTGCAATCAATGCAGGCTTTGATCAGCATAGTCAAAAGGGCCTGGCACTCAGAAGTGCCCCATGCTTGAAATTCTTAATTTTGTCTTTGAATTAGTGTTTTTTAAGTGATGTCCAGTGGGATAAAGGAGCCTTGGAACTGGGCTCATGTGTGGTCCCACTTTCCACTGCCTTCCTGGGACACGTTCTCAGCCTTCCCTGCTCACTTAGGCTGCCCTGGGACTTCTTTCTACCCGTCCTTGACCCCCTCTGCAAACTGGGTTGGCCCAGTGAAGGTTGGGATCACGCCCTTTGAATCTCAGGACAGTGGCCTCTCACCTACCCATCCTTGCAGGGAAGTTGCAACCCATTAGGGCCATGAAAAGTGGAGATTGGCTTCTGTGCTTTGGTCCAGGCCCAGAATTTTGCACTGGGCCTCACAAATTATGTAACCAGCCCCAAGTGATAGGTACCATTATCATCCTGTTTTATAAAATGTGGAACTGAATTAAAGAGAAGTAGGATTCCAGTCAAGATGGCAGAATAGACAGTCCCCAGCATCACTCTCTCCCACAAATCAACCAATTTACAACTATAAAAAAGCAACAACAGCCAAGCTGGGACCGCTAGAGCTCAGGGGAAGAGGAGAGACCTACGGAGTTCAAGAAGGCAGGAGAAGCCACGATAAGAGAAAGAAAAAACTGCTCGGAACATTTCAGGCCATGGCCACTTTAAGGCTGGAGCTGCTGAGTGCACGGAACAGGAGCCAGCAAAAGCCACAACTGTTCCCTTCAGATGGAGTTACTTGGAGGCAGCAGGGGAGAAGAGGGCCTTGGTGGCCCCCAGGACAGCAAGACCACTAATAGGGTTCCCATGGACCCACACAGGAGCAAGGAGCCACAACAACTAAAAAAAAAAGCAATTCAGAGGCCAGTGAGTCATCTCAAGGGACTGGCACACGGCCCATCCCATGGGAAGTGTTTGCAGCATGGGCAGTGGGGGAGACGGGCCCACTGGGAGAACACTGGGACACAGCAAGGACAACCAATCCGTACCCCAGTCAGCACAGAACCACTCAGAGGAGACTTGTCAGGAATATAGAATTGCATAGGGTACAGTTTGATGAAAAGACTCAGGACCAAATCAGAGTTTCTACACAACCCAGGTGCCCCGGGTCTCTGGAGAGCCGGAATACCTATAAGGTCAACCATTAAACCCTAAGCTGCACAAAAAGCCTTCCCTAGGGAAACAGCAGCAAAGCAGCAATTTAGCTCAAGCACACAGCTCAAGTACTGGTTCCCACAGGAAGTTCCCCCATTTTATAAGTAAGCAACTGACAAAACATTAGTTCCAGCCCAGGCACACCAACAGTACCTCGGGGCCCTCCAGGGGACCTGAGGCATGGAGTTGGGGACCAGACCCCCCTGCCCACATCAGGGCACACAGCCAGCACCTCGGATCCCGCCCAGGGACCTGAGGCATGGAGCACAGACCAGACCCCCCCCCTCCCACAACCAGACACACTGCCAGTGCCAAGTATCATGCCAAAATCATCACTTCCATGTGGGTGCCCCACTACAGCCACCACAATAACCACAGCTGCCGCAAAAGTGGCTAGATGTCACAACCACCATGCAGATGGTCCACCAGCCACTGGAGTGCATTGACACAAGGAGAATCACCAGCGGAGACCAAAGAAAAGAAGAGGATGTCTCTCTCCACAAAACCCATTCCAAAGTGACAGAAGAAGCATCTGCTCTATGATAATATTGGGGGACCTGAACACACCTCTCAGCATTGGACAGATCATCTAGGCAACAAATCAACAGGGTAACCATTACTCTTTCAGAAGGAGAGAAGAAATCTAGGGTCATCAGTGGTGGGAGAGGAGAGGGAGGGGGGAATAGGGAAAGATTGGACAAGGGACATAAAGAGTAAGTACAATTTGTAACAATATATATACTAGTAATATTGATTTGATCAACATATGTCAACATTGAATCCCAAAAATACATATAATCAATTAGGATCCAATAAAAATTTTAAAATAAGTAAATAAAGTTAAGTAAGTTGACCAAGTTCCTTAGAAGCAGCAGAGCCAGAACTTCAACCAAAACAGTCTTCCTCTCGAGCCCATGCTCTTAGTCACAATACCTCACTGCTTCTCTCTTTAATAACTTTATAGGTAAAATGTCATTATATACTACATGGACTTTTTTATTTAGTCAATATAAATAAAGTATTATTAAGTAAATAACTGTCATTCAATCTGACAAAAATTGTGAACATGGCTTACAAAAGGCTGAAATCTGGGAAACTGCTGGGATGAGCTGTGCGGCTGATTCCCGAAAGTCACCAGGATTTGAAGTCATCAGGTAGGACAGGAGCAAAGGTGGGGGAAGGCAGTGGGCCCTGGGCAGCAGAAAAGCAGTTTGGGAGAAAGACAGTGGCCACCATTTCAGCCAGGATCAGGATCATCCAATCTGTCTCTTTTCCCATTGGTCTGCTTACATGAGCAGTGAGAACAGGGAAGTTTTTCAAAAGTTTAGAAGCAGAGATTGAATGTGAGCAGCACTCTTGCCAGGTAACTTTTTAGTGATAGAGGTCAAAGTAAAATGCAATGGAATGTTGTGGGACGTTTTGAATATTCATTTTAAAATATCATCCTACGTGGTGTCTGGTACCACAGTGATTGCATTGTCCATAGTTGTCTTGTTTGGTTTTGGGGGGATTTTTTAATTTTTTGTTTGTTTTTGGTGGCTGGTCAGTACAGGATTTCAAATCTTGACCTTGGTGTTAGCACCATACTCTAACCAAGTGAGCTAACTGGCCAGCCCATGGGGATTTTTTAAAAGGTAATAAATGGACGTGGTTAAGAAAAAAAAAAGTGTACAGTAAGTCCTCCGTCCTAGAAATTGTCCCCAGTACTGCTGTATCCTTCCCAGTGTGCTTGCATGTAGGACATATGCTTCCCTCTCTCCTCTTGATCTGGAACCCAAGTCTGGCTGCCTGCCCCAAACAAAAAACAACCCAAAAGTCAAATGTTGGTGGAATAGGAAGTCAGCTTTAATTCAGGAATACCAGTGACCTGAGGAGAGTAGTTGTTAGGCTACCCATCTCTCCCGTAAACCAGGAGAATGGCCAGACTAAAACCATCTCAAAGACTTAGATTTACTGAGGGGGTTTTATAGAAGGGACTGAGGAAATGGAACATGGGAAGTGAAAAACAGTAGGAAGGGGGGTGTGAGCTGTGGAGGCTCCATGCAAGGAGCCAGGTGCAAAGGCTTGCCAAGGCTCTGTCAGGTTTCTGTTCCCATCTTTGATGTTATCTTAGGGTCTTGCTGGATTTTGATTTGATTCAGGATGGAGTCAGCATACCTTTATCGATATCTTCCTTGGTTTCTCAGGGCCTGGATAGTATGGGTCTCATGGCAAGTGTGCAGCTCCAGGCTGACTGGAAAACAACTTTACATTTATATTTAAATAATGTCAGCTTGCCCCATAACCAAAGTTCAAACTATCAAATAACCATGGGAAAAGAAGGAACTCAAAGAAATACATGCTAAGAAAAAACTCTTTTTTAAAAATTTTCCTATAGCCCAGACAGTTTTAGGTCCCAACATGGCTTCAGTCCTGCTTACTCCAACACACTTATGCTGTTTTCACACAAACAGGATGATATACAAAAAAGGCACTACATCTTGCCTTTTAGAGGGATGCTTTCTAAAGGATGAGTAACAGAACATACATGTTCATAAGAGTTAACATGCCAAGTACAATGTCTTGCATATGGGTACTCACTGAAGAAGGCATCCTTTCATTTTTAAATTATTTAGATATACATATGTGTCATTCAGTCAGTATTCTGTATTATGCCTTTCTCTGTTCTCTTCCATCGCAAATTTTATTTCCATGTATCAAAAGACTCCTGCACAACTAGTGCAGCTCCTTCCAAGGTGGCGCACAATAACTTTTCCCTCTTCACATTGCTTAACTCCTGAAGTTAGCCATTGAGATAAGTGAAAATTTCCGAAAATTAGGAAAGCGTAAAAACATTTTTATTCCTATCAGTACTGGATAGTACCATAATATATTATAAGATCTTTCAAGACACCAAAGGGCTACTCAAAACTAACACTCAAATTTATAAAGAATCTTATCACTCGTCTGTAATTAAGAACTCAACAACAAAAAGTCCCTAGAGCCCTCTTGAAATTGGGCATGTTCTCTCCAGCTCATCCTCTGAACAGCTTCATGCATTTGTGATACAGGCCTGGCACCTATACAGTAGTTAAATCTGAGATCTCAGATCAGACCATTTATTTGGCAATTCAGTAAGTGTAGAACTTTGCGATAGTCTGTGAGTTGTGTTGAGCAGTTATTAATGAAGCTGAAAGATGTGAACAGGTCGGCCAAGGTCACAAAGCTAGTAAAATTGAGAGATGGAACGGCTAAAAAATTGTTCCAGCTCTAATTTTCCATGACTCTCTAAATTGAGTAGAAATGGGAATAAGTAACTAACAGCAGGGGATGAATGAAATGGCCGCAAAACACTGCCATGCTCCAAGCAACAGTGGTAAGAGCCAGTGCCACCCAGCTCTGATTGCCTGAAACACTGGTCTTTACATTTTTTGTTCACATGACCCCCTAAAAAAAGTCTCCAACTTTTAAAGTGAACAAAAAATTCTTTGTCATGATTTTTAAGTTGCTCACATACATTTTCCAGTTTATTGTAAATAATTGACTTTTTAATGATACATTTTTAAAATAAATAAATATTGACTTTTAAAACTGTACATGATTCTTTGAAGTGTATTAAATACCTTAATGATTTGATATGCACCTCCACCCATCTTAAAAATAAATAGCAAGTTATTTACTATTTGAATTTTTCGTTTTCCCTTTTATTTTTTTGAACTTGAATTTCCATTCCACTTCTGCCACAGAATCTTATCTTAATGTAATAGATTTATATGTTTTAAAGACGTTATTGGTCATCCTGTCATATGTCTTATAAAAAATAGGTAAATAAGTTTAAATTTAATAAATTTTTGTGTGATTAAAACTTTGTATAAAAACTGTTTCTGGTCGGCCCGGTGGCGCAATGGATAGTGCGCCGCTTGAGAAGCACGGCGGCGCTCCCACCCGGGGGTTCGGATCCCATATACAGACCGGTTCCCACTCACTGGCTGAGCGAGGCGCGGGAGCAACACCGAGGGTTGCGGTCCCGTTGCCGGTCCCCGGTCCAGTACGGGGGCAACACTGAGGGTTGCGATCCGTTGC